CGAAATTCTAGAATTCTTGTATTGAACTAGAGGCTTTTTGGAAGACATCCCAAGGGTCGGATAGAAAGTGAAAGGTGGAAAATCAATTATAGATGATCTCCTTGGAGCTGGCGTGGACTGAGTGACAGCGATAGGACTGCGCCCTTAATCTTACACAATAGATTAACGTGAGTGGCAACTGAGATACACATAAGTCATGCTATTTCAAACGCCCCAGAGGCAGGCCTGTTTAAGGGACCCTCTGAGGAACCCCCAGCTCACGCTCGCGGCCAGCCCACTCAGCTCACTGCACTCGGCGTCAGTTGCATTTGGTTTTCCTAAGATGCCCCTCTGTTGCCCTGGGTATGAATGTCTCAGTTTTTGTCCTATACTTACAAGGCCGGCAGCCATGGCTTGCCCTGACACTGTGTGTGCTCTCGGACTCAGCCTTTTGGTTTCTCCTGCCCCACCCCCGTGTTTGTTTTTCCTCCTGTGCGGAGGGCTCCAGTAGTCGAGTGTAGCTTGAATAGACACCGGTGTCCGCACGTTCCCCTTCCCAGCCACGCTGTGTGGGGGCCAGTAGGTAACCGCCTCCCTCGGCTTGTTGTGGGACCCTCCCACCGAGAGGGCATGGGCAGCCCTGGTGTGCCAGTGGGCAGGGCACTGAGCAGATGCCAGCCTGGCTCAGCGTGTGTGTTGGAGTCTGTGTGGATTCTCACCATCCCTGTCTCCTTCAGGGCCCTGTGATGCCCATGGTCTAGGAGTCCCTGCCCGGACTCCTGTGGGCAGCATTTCTGTTTGGGGAACTGCAGGTGCGGGCAGGTTTGAGCACAAGAGTCCTTTCTCCTGGCTGCCCTGTGTTGGGGGGGCGGGTGGGGAAGGGTGCTGAGATCTGGCCAGAAGTTGAGTTTTGGGTGGGAGGCGGTTGTGATGGAGGAAAGTTTCTCCAAGTTAGCAGCCAACAGTTGAGGGGTCCTGAGCTGTGCCTGCAGGAAGGAGCCTCAGCGGGGGCCTGGGCTGGAGGTTGTTGGCGG